GTGTAAGACAGCCCTACCTAGGTTGCCCCGAATTAAGAGAAATATCGTGTCGGTTCGATAAATTTGATAGAAAAAACTATCGGAAAACTCATCCTTTTTCGTCTCTCTAGATAAATAGAAATAGAAAATGACACTGCACCAGGCTTGATGTCGTCTTAGCGTTGTGGCAGCCTCCCACAGTGATTTTGAAGTTCTGTTTCCTAGCGAAACAGGCCATTTAGTGTAGACAAGCCAAGAAACTGGGGAATATTCAAGGCGGCCATGTATATCACCTAGGTGAGACAAACCTTCCTCAAAATTCCCGATTTGATGGTAGTGCAGGGTGCATTCAAATGTCGTAAGTACAGGGACCGGCGTTTGGGCCAACTCTTTGGCGAATTTCGCCAAGAAAGACTCAGTAGGTCTGGTGAAAAGGAGGATGAAAAAGATTAAAAAGATTAATATGTATAGCTTTTCGAAATTTTGAATGTTAGTTTCTTGTCAGGAGAAAGGGTTAGGTTAGGAAGGTTAGAAAGAAGCAACGGTTAGGTTAGGTTAGATAAGGTCAGTGCGACTGTGTGTATCACCCAGGAATGACAAACCCCCCTCAGAATCCCCAATTTTATGGTAGTGCAGGGTGCATTCAAGTGTCGAAGTTACCATTGCCGGAATTTATTTCAACTCTTTGACAAATTTCTCTAGGAGAACGTCACCAGGTTTGACGAAAAGGGGGCTGAAAATAATTTATATAGACATATCCCATTTTGAATTTTTTTGCTATCCTATTAACAAGAAAGAAATAGAGCAAGAAGCCACGACACTTGTAGTAGAATGACATTGGTTATATCCTTCATTTGACCGATTGAATATTTGGATATTTGTGGGGTACACACTAAGAAATCGTTAAACCGAATTATCACCGGTCTGATGTTCTAGTTAGCGACTCAGTGACAGGTTATTACCACGGAGACAACCTAGCCCCAGCCCAGCGGTACTCAATTATCACAGTACTACATATAAGTCAAAACCTAGATCACAATAACCAGTAGAGTCACACCTGTCACAGAAATTCTTAGAGTGTGGTACCGAGAATTTTATATAAGAACTTATTGATTACCATACCAAATATTCCGGGATTAAATTTATTAGAAAAGTTTGCGTGTTCCTCAAGATATTTAAGACATGGCGTCGGTATGTATAACTTTTGACGTACAACGTATAACTTACATATAAGTTATTAGTTGCGTAGTTATAAGTCGTGTCTATGACATAGATAGATCTACGTTGATTAAAAAAAATATAAGTCACGCTATAGGTTTACCTATAGAATTTTAAGATTTGGGTGAATAGCTGACTAGCCCATTTCCTTGAACACAATAACATTGGGAATCCAGAGTTTTAAGATTCGTAAATACGTAGGGTACAGTTGAGGTTCATTGAGAGCAGGAGGGGTAGCATACAGGGGCAAATAGCAAAAGAAGTAGTTAAAGTTGTGGGACTATAATGAGAGAAATTGGTGTCATAGGAATTTAATTCTTCATTAACTTCCATTTGGGAGACCTTCACAAGTAATGAGAAAAAGGTGCTAACACTCATAATCAGAATGAAGTAATAATTTATATGGAACCTTTCAGGCTTTCAATTATCTGTAAGTTTACGAAAATGTGTATGCAATACATAGGGATACGAAACCATGCAGTTGTGCGAAATAAAATAAATTAGACAGTTGACGAGCCCTCTCCTGTCGCTCAAATTAACCTTGCATCCACTTATTAAGGGGTATTTTTAAATTTTTAAAATTAAGTGTGAAATTAAAAAAAATTATAAAAAATACATAGTTCACAACAATGTATTTGAATTATATAACGTAGTAATAGTAGTATCTACAAGCAAGATGGAGCCATATATGTATGTTTACCGCGTGGTAATAAAATTTCTTAGAGTGCATACACAACCTTCGTAAATAAAATAGCGACCTAAACGAGTACCTACATATACAGTAAGAAAGAATATATATATATAAGAAAGAATTTATGGTGGGAAAAGTTGACACAAGATTTATCGAAATAATTATTTAAATAAATGACATGTTCATGTGAATACATTCTGTAACGGAAATTATTTTGAAGCAACACAAATTTTATTCATTAAAATCTTTTTTTAACTCAAAGTTTAAGCTGCACAAATTAAATACTAAAATATGTTTATGGCAACAATTGTACTTCTACATAAAATATGTAGCAATTTAATGTATAATAAACCAACAATAACCTACTGATTATGTACTTATATAAATACAGCTAACGCAAAATCACAGTAATTAACGAATTTTTCAAGTCATCTTAAAAATAAGATAATATTAAAATATAAATAATCAACACAGACATTACAAATTTAAAAATTTACAATTCAAAAAAATTGAAAATTAAAGTAAGATAATTATAGCAAAGGAACACAAAGTAGTGGAATCTTTTTTGAAAGAAAACAAATTAAGATAGAAAAACAAATTGCAAAACAGTTAAAAATAAATATAAAGTGTCCAAACAAATATAGTTTCATTAATCTTCAAATATTTCTAGCTTGACGTCGAAGTAGCTTGAAGTTTATGGCTGTTTTACAGATTTATGTAAATTGATGTGAATTAATCAACATTGAGCATGTGGGTGATTTAAGTTAATGTATGTTTGTGAATATGTATTCAATATTTGTAGTTTTCATAGTATTGCAGTTAAATAACGGAGAAAACCGATTAAATATCCGCTGTGTTGAGAGTGATAAATGACAATGTTGTACAACAAATTTGCATCTATCTCCACGAAGATTATCATTACATTCTTCAATAATTATTCGAAAAAGCTCCACGTAATACTAATTTACATACCATGAAAATTGAATTTAGCTTCTTAAAATAAAATATCCTCGTGCTTCTGCAAGCGTGCAATTTGATAATTTGAATTTGTGAATCGTGAATTTGTTAAGTTTCACGTGCAGTTACCGCGCAGGTGTGGGGAAAGGGGACAATGTCCCCACGGTTACATTATTGATGTCCCCACCATCTGCCCATGACTGCTTACGCGGCCACTGCGCATATAAATATGCACAAACAAAAACACATTTCATAACCAATATGCATTAAATATATGAAGCAGCATTGTAACAATTTGCGTAAAATTTACAATTATCAATTTCTGTTTAAAAAAAAATATAACCCTTTACACAAGGGTGACTACGAACATTGTTGCTGCAATATACACATGAGTGTATATTGATGTACAGTGTATGTGTATGTACCTATTTTTCTAAGTTTTGTCATTCTATGCACATGGCTCAATGTTTTTATTTTTTAGTTGCTTATTTAAACTCAAGTGGCGTAATATGATTGTAAAGCTTTGCACGAATTTCCAGCTAAACATAATCTTGTGCCCCGAATTTTTAAATCTTATAATTTTTATTTCTAATTCTTAATTCAATTTTTGTTTTTATTTTATTTTTGAAAGTAGCCCTCTGCACAAGGGTGACTACGAACCTTGTTGCTTGGAAATTTACATATTCTTTTTAATTTTTACTAACTTACATATGTATTTATGTACAAATATTTTCTGACTGCACTTGGAGATAATTGTTATCGTCCAAATTTTTCAAACCTCTTTAATTGTTTCTGTTTTTCGGGAGACAATTCCAAGCCTACTCAGGAAAACATTATATGTAAGAATTATAATTTAATGATTATCAAATGAAGGCTTGGATGAAAGAAAATTCGGAAAGATAAAAGAGGCCCTGGCGACGATCAAATTGAGGAGAAATTACAAATATTTTTGACCTAAATATGTTAAAAATGGAGGAACCTCTCCCCCAACAATAGGACGCCTAACAATTGAGCCAAAATTACAGGAGATTGTATCGTTGAGTTCATAAAACCAACTTCAATATGTCAAACCTCGGGAATTGGTGCGAAATTTTTTAAAATTTTACATTTAGTTATTTGGATAAGTACTGTTAATTACTACATTAAAACTATCGAAGACATCCTTGCATACATAATACTGACACTTCAGAAAATTTAAAGCGTGGCGAATAAGAACGTGCAATTAGTTTAAAGGTCTTAAAAAATCACCAGCGAACACAGATCACTTAAAGAAGGATGAAGATATGGTTATTGTTTCAGTATAGGGAAATGGGGTTCCAAATGCTGCGATTGGCTGACGGTTTTTATGGGCATCCGCCCATAAAAACAGGGCCGTGGCACAACTCAATTTTTCCCAATCTCAATTTCCCCATTACTTGGAAATCTCACTCCTTTCTTGGCACCAAAATCAGGTGTCTCCTTTACCATCATTCTTGCTGCCAAACTCGGAAAAGCTGAATAATTAAAAGATTATTTAATATCCTACAAATTAATTTTCTGACATCCACTCAATTACATAAATCGCTTCAACTCACCACAAGTTAAGCTCTAAGCTTCAACTCTCGGTAAGTAGTAAAAGAATTACTATTTTCTTTCAACAATGAACGGTGGGGACACAAATATGGTGGTGACACGTTCATTTTTACGAGTGATTTGGATGTTAATTTATTGCGATTTATTGGTACAGGTAACTGCTAAGGACAATTTTTCATCCATTAATTTTGCGACCTCTCTGCCGTGCCCCCACCAGAAATCTGTGTCATCGCCGGCCAACCTGGTAAATAACAACTTTAACTGGATTCTGCAACAATAAGGACCAAGGAACTTGTATTTCGTAATGTACTATATTTTATTGAAGTATAGACTCATCAATTACCATTAGTTGTTGTTCGTGACCTGGTAACAGTGTGAAATTGTCGGAAACTTCGTTAAAGTTTTACAAGATTCAAAAATAGTTTCTCATATAATGAACGGTGAATACACATATATGTACGTTCATGTATGGTGAAAACACGCTCATTGTTGGAAATCAAGTTCCACTAAATTTATTTTTGTGAATTGCAGATATAATATTTGTGCTAATTGTTACTCAATATTGTGACCTATTGCCCCTTCATCCACCAGATCCGTGTCTCCACCGGTCAATTTATCTGATCTATCAGTGTGCGTTTATACAAAGCAAATTCAAATTATATCTTCACACCCACTCTTTCGCTACCAATGAGCAGTCGATAACTAAAATGTATTAATTTTATTACAGGTTCACCTATTTGGCCAAACAAGGGTACTTAAATCAATGTGACTTTGTCAAGACTATTAAAAAACTTTCAAAACTTCGCTTAAGGTAAATTTCTTTTTGATCTTAAAAATAGTTTCTTTAATAGTAAAAAAGAATAATGAACGGTGGAGACACATTAATATGGTGGAAACACGTTCATTATTGCAAGCAACTGTTACATCAATATTTCCTTGTTATTTTGTTTAATTACAGACTCATCAATTACTATGAGACCTTGTTCGTGACTCGGGAATAGTGTGAAATTCTCAGGAACGTCAGTAAAGTTTACCAGGTTCAACCATAATATTAAAATAATAGTTTCTTATCTCCAAAAATTAAAAAAGCAACGAACGGTGGACACACACATGTATATGGTGGAAACACGTTCATTTTAATTACAGATTTGCCTTCATGTACTCAAATTCAGTGTGACTTTATCAAAACCTTCTTCAAAATCTTCTTAAAATAAACAATTAACGGTGGAGACACATAAATATGATGAAAACACGTTATTTGTTTCAAGCAGGTTTCAAATTACTAATTGCTTGTTATTTTTCGCAGGAAATCCAGTTGCTCAAAACATTTATTTGAATTTAATAAACCGTCGTTTGTCACGGTCCGAAATATAAAGTGTTGCGGTACTAATTGTGATAATTCTTGAAACCAAGAAAATCGTAATTACTCCTTTCTGCCAAAGCGTCAGAAAGCGAAATACAACTTCCGATGCAAAATAACTCATTTCTCTCATTCTTTTTTCCTCTGATAGCTAATTTTAGTTTTTTTAAAGGTTCCAGCAGTGGTGTAAAATTCTCGACATCGATAAGGAAAACGTATCACCTAAAACTGTCGTTTGCAGCAAACACTTTTAGCCACCTTCAAGAAATTTCTCAAAGAGTTTTACCGACCTCTCCACCCCATTTGTGTCTTCACCATTGTCTGTGTCTCCACCGAAAGGGGGGTGGGTTAATTTATCCTTTATATGAACAAGAAGATAAAGATTAGAAATAAGTTTCACTACAGTTTGAAGTAGAAGAATCAGAACCACATTCAACTGTTTCCATTTTCCTCATATACTCAAGGCACGAAAATTATTGCTACTATTTATAATAAAATATTTTGCAACCGGGAAATTATTTCGATGTTTGGTTATTACGGCAAAGTTGTTTTTATTGGTGAAGATGCATTATTAAATCTATAAACAACAAAGATGTTTTATTCACATTAGATAACAATTGCTTCAATATATCAATATCAATATTGCCGGTGGATACACACTTTCAGTGGTGACAACACGGCGGTGGAGTATATTTTTTTAGTTGTTATTTAGACGTTTGTCAAACGTAAAGTTAGTAAAATTGTATTTATGCTAAATCAATTTTTGTTGCAATAAATTTGGTTGTAAATCTGCATCACAACAACTTTCAGTTTTTAATTAATTATTCGAACTTAGAAAGTCGCAAAAATTCTCCATTCGAGATGACGAAAATCTGTACAAAAATTAAGTCACATTAAATCCTGAGCATGGTTGTAAAACTGCTCTGACATATCTTGTCGTTAAACTTACTTAATAATTGATGATGGTGGGTGGGTGTGGTAGACACCGAAGCACGAAAAACTGTTTTTTTGTTCTGGGACGTAAAATATATAGTGTGATGAGAAGAGATGGTAAAGGGTAAAGTGAGACGGATGGTGCGCATCGAGTGCTACGGCTTCATTTATGCGGCATCAAAAATACATGGAGAAATTTGAACTGCGAACCAGCCAATCACATCATTCCAGCCCCGTCCTATACTGAATAACTAACATTGGAACTGTTTATCTCTATAGGATACCATGATCGTTGAAAAATCACCATTAATTACGCTCGTGCACACATCCAACCTCCGGTGGTCTTCTACCACCTGCCGGTAGAGTCACATGTGACCACCAGGCTGGTAATAAAATTTCTTAGGAGGGGAGCTTGCGAGGTTGATAATAACAGATCTCGATGCCCTTTGGATATGTGATAGGGTCTCATGAGTGTACTAAAACCCTGAAGTGGTTTGACTCCATGGCCGCATTTGCGCCCGCCACACCCACTCAAAAATGCCCAAAAAACGCTTTCACTCCAGTTTTCACTCACTCAAATCCACGCCAGAAATCCAATTTTACTCGGATTTTGAAATTTCTTTCACCATTACGCTCCCAGATAGTTGCTTTCTTCAATTCCATATCAAACTAAATTTTGCTGATGATTATTTCGCAGGCGTAATTTGAGTTGTTGATTACTACAACAATCCTCATTCAGAATTTCAAATTTTAAAAATACTAAAAATTTCGAAAAAATTGGGTTTGATATTGGATTGAAGAAAGCAACTATCTGGGAGTGTAATGATGAAAGAAATTTCAAAATCCGAGTAAAATTGGATTTTTGACGTGGATTTGAGTGAGTGAAAACTGGAGTGAAAGCGTTTTTTGGGCATTTTTGAGTGGGTGTGGCGGGCGCAAATGTGGCCATGGAGTCAAACCACTTCAGGGTTTTAGTACACTCATGAGACCCTATCACATATCCAAAGGGCATCAAGATCTGTTATTATCAACCTCGCAAGCTCCCCTCCTTAGAGTGCAATATCGAAACAATTACATTTTTAGCGGTACTAATTGTACCAAATTTCTTTGTCACAGTCATAGATCGGATATTTTGCGTACTCCGTACTCCGCTTGCTCCATAATACGGAGTACGCAAAAATCCGACCTATGGTCACAGCTTCATTATAATAGAATATTTTAATTGTTGTGGGAAATTCTGATGCATATTTTTCAATTGCTGAATATTTAGAAATATCGATTACCTAATTTATTATTCTTCTTTCCATGTTCATTTTACATACGTTTATTTCGAAAAAGCTAAACGACCAGCGCCGTACATAAATTTCCCTATCCAGCTCTCGTCCTGCTCTCGTCCGTCGATTACCTTGTATTTACATATGTAGATGTGTTTATGTGTGTACATTAATGTAAATATCAATTTACATCCAATGACAAATGACTTTCTGGTTCGTCACCAAGTATTTTGGCGTGAACCTTACAAACATTTAATTTTAAATTTTAAGTTTCAAGTTAATTTAATGTTGATTTACATAAGTTTAATATGTATATATTCATTAAGTAGCTTTTGAATCGCATTTTCCGTATTAAAATTCGGGTTTTCTTTAGCTTAGCTAATAAAATAACAAAAATGCTCATCAATTAGTTAATACATACGCATCTGTAACACCGACCGCTCAAAATTCAGGCAACTCATTTAGGAAGCTAATTCTTCGGCTTCAAGATTTCTTAATAAGTTGTTCATAATTTTGAGGGGAAATTGTACCTTATTTTTTGAATAAACGAAATTAGTTATTCCTAGGCTGCGAGGATGAATGAAGCAAATACATATGTACAAGTGCGTCATCTCCTATCCGGTGTAATACAATAGCATATTGTGTTATTGTGTCGGTGCTGAAACAATGACAGCGGAACCGTATGGACAGCGTGGGGAGGACAAGATTGTACAATACGAAATTCTACTGTATTTACAATTCTTGGAAGGAAATTGTACATCATTTCCCCACGGTTCCGTCGCCACCGAGTATAAAAATTTGTCGGATAATTAAAGTTATCTCAATTATGTGTCCATAAACTGTTTTGTAGCAAACACACATCTTGTGACAAATCTCTTTAAAATTGTGTTACTTAAATTATATAGGATTGAAATTGTTGTCAAGCGCCATGTACACACTTTAATCGTTCTTGGAGAAATTATGTAAATCTTTGTAGTTTAAGAAAGTAGATCTAACCTGTTCAGGAGGGTTGATCGTCTCGTAAATCAGACGATAAATCCAGGAAGATCTTCCAGAGGGTGCAGGGGAGGGGAAGGATTTCCAGCTTGGCCACTAATGACAATTGGGTGCTCGACAGTTTCTTGGGGTTCCAGAGGCTCGACATCAATCGTAAACCCATCAACAATTTCTTGGGCGTCCAACGGGTCGACATTAATTACGGGTAGCTCAATCATTTCTTGGAGAGGTGGGACAAACCATGTCAAGCGTGGAATAAATCTGCCCCAATTAACTGAATTGATTAAAAATATGTGTTATCGATTTTAACTCTCCTCACCACATTTTTTGAATCAGATGCTTACATTCCATGCTGCTGACAATTGTCCTTATCTTGTGCTGAGCTGCAATTAGAGCCGCGATGACGACAATTGCTTCGATAAGATCCAACAATGTCAGACCAGTGATCATGGAAATTGTGCCCCCAACGAGACCTAGATAAATATTATGATCTTAAAATATGATACATATATATTTCAATACATTTTGAAATGCACTTGCCGACTTCTTCGAAAGTGCTGTATCTGGCACTTCGTCGGGACGCTTGGTATGAATCCATGTCAAAGTAGACGTACACGATTGAGAACGTGTCATCATTTCTAAGGAAATACACATTGTCATTATAAAGTATTTTCGGATTTCTTTAGTTCATTCTTTATCAGTGACTTTTTACTCTAATTGCTCCTTATATCTCCCCCTGTACTCAGTCATGTGTTTCTGAGTGAGTGGACTTGACGTAACCGAGATTGTGTACTTGGTCTGTCGGCAATTTGGTAGACAGGCTTGGCAAGCAGATAGAATGCCTAGATCGTACATTTCCTCTAAAAATCATAAAATTTAAAATTAATTTTTAAATTAAATGCAGCGTAAACAATTTAGGAGTGAAACGCAAGGAACGATAAATTACTGAATGGGTACGCCCACAAACAGGAAATTTGGGAACCTAAATTTGATATTTTAAAGTAATAAAATGGGACTAACCTTCTTTATTTAATACGCAGCTCAGCTTATTGTATGAACTGCATAAGGGCCTTCCTCGCCTGCCTATAATATTAAAAATTAGCAAAGTACTGTGATAAAAATAATCGACAATTTTGGTTGCATATTTTACCAGGAGCCACAAATGCTGTACAGTTACACTGATTGAAGACCGCGTCAGAAATACATTCCTCGAAGCAGTTTCGTTTCGTGTACTTATGGTAATACTTTAGCTCTGCATTTCCCTTGTCATCGCCAAAATAGTAACCACGTTCGTCCTTAATAAGTATTTCACATTAACTCTGATTCTAAATTTCACAGAACTAAAAATTTACAACAAACCGGTTCCATTTTCTTGATGTCATCATCCGCCAATAGCAAGATTGGGGTGATCGAAATAAAAACCTCATGCCCGAAAGGCAGGGATTTCCCAAACCTCTTAATTTTTGGCTCGTCAGAGGGATGGGCAACGGTAAGCTATATAAATTTTGCAAGTAACATTTATATTTAAGCTGGGATTACATTGTGAACTTTACTACTTGACAAATAAATAACGACATACAATAAACCCTGTGCCTTCACCATGCACGCTTCCTTTTTCACCTGACTCGTCCTTTATGATGAAGGATAAGCCCGACGTTCGTCCGGGAGATGTTTGTCGCCATGGGGTACGACTATTGTCGACACCTTTATTTGTAACCCTTTCATCTTTCTGCTGAATATCTTTGTCCAGATTAGCCACACTCCATTTCTCGATCTCTTCGGCGGTATACTCCCCCAAGCTAAGAACGCTCTGCATTGTCTGGATTCTAAAAATGAGTGTTGAAGAGTGTTATCAGCAGCCAGAAGAGAAAATTGCATGCAAATTGTGAACTTGTCTGAGATAGTGATCTTAATGCTCCAGGCATGGTCCAGATAAAACTTTAGCCGAAACCAGACTGAAACCCTCAAAAAGTTGTCAGAATGGGTACTTCGAGTTGCGGGGGCATGAAGATTCGTTTTGGGATAGGATTTATTTTGGGAATTTAAAAATATGAAAATGGGTTTTTAAAGTTGTAGTAAGAAGGTCGATTGAGTTTATTTCGGTTAGGATATGACAAACTCATAACCATTGGATCTTGGCCAATCCGGGCACTATTAAAATTACCGTATGTGGCATAAGCAGTAAATATGTATTGAAAAATTAGGAATTACTTTCTTGTAACTGGTCCAGGGATACCGTTGAACATGCATGTTCCACCCCACTCCGAAAACCGTTTCTTGAAAAGTAAACCACAGTTGATAGATTTCCTGTTGAGAAAGCATCCAGTGATAACGTCGCCGCAATTATATGTTGCCTACAAATGAGTATTAAACACAATTAGAATGATTAGTATGATTTGAATAGGTGAATTAGTCTATTTGCCTTTTTAAGAAATGGAATAATTCTCTCCTTGATTGTCTTAGTTGTTGGATCGTCATATAAATGATAGCCGTCGATGTTCACACTTTTGATGAAGTTATTGTTATCCTGATTGTTAACTTCGTTCAATCCAGCATATGTAGTATCCAAGGAACATGTTTGATCGATAATTTGCAGAAGACCACCAGCATCATTACGGCTCCAACTGAATTCATCCTCAGCCACATCATTACCGATCTTTGCCAGTAAGAAATTCCTGAATAAAAAAAATCCAAGAATAGAGCTCATACTATATGTACATACACGGCACTATTGTCCATAAATCTTGCTGATTATATCCAGTCGTATTTCCTAGAAGCTAAAACCCCTATTTTTAGATAGGAGTGACAAGATTAAAGGTTTAATTTTTTTTTACTTTATACTCCCAAGGTTCACTACCTAAGGCAAATTTTTTCTTATATTCAAGGGGACATAGCGAGCATTTTCATTTGTGAACCGCACCTGTGTAATTTTTACGGCACATTGATTTTTTTAATTGTTTTTAATCAGGAATACTATCAGAAAGGCGATGGGCCAGCAAAACCATTTGCTAACAATTATCTCACCAACTTTGTGAAATAACTTTGTGAGAAAAGTTGCCAGGTAATAATTCCAGGCAGTGTATTTATCTATTTAGATACTTGAAAGCAAAATGGTTTGCCGCATAAGTTAATTTGAATAAGGCTAGCCCGTAATGTACATACGTATTTGAGGATGAATATATTTCTAATTTTACATGGGTAAAGCTCAGTTGAATATATGTAAAGTTACCGTTCGGCATTAACCATCGCGCTGTAGTTAAATCCTCCAGGAAGGCTGACTGTGACTTGTGGGAAGTCAACATCCCCAATTGCAACTTCGTTAGTTTCCGTTGACACGACCAGTGGATGCCCCATTGTTCTCTTGATACCTTCTTTAATAATTATGTACACAATGACGCAACAAATCATAACTACAATAAACCAAAAGGCCCTGAAAGAAAGGAAGAAAGTCGTAAATATAAAGACATACTAATTTCGCTTCCACGTCAATTAAAAAATTAATGACCAAGTGCACAATTGAGCCCATTTGTTATTCCGACTTTGCCATCTGCCTGCATAGGAGTGGAAATATAACTATTGGATAATAGGTGGATATAATCAACGGGACATTGCCAGGTATTTTAACCAAATAGATATTCTTTACATTGTTATAAATAGAGCCGAAAATATACGTAATCACAATCTGAAGGCATCAATTACTTTCGCTAGGCCACGTACTCTGGTTCAGAATGACTGGACTTGTAACCTTCTTCTTCGTTTTTACCGTCATCCCAGCATCCTTGCAGCTAAATCCTGGAGACACGATTCAAGATCTGCAGATACAGGATATGGTTCGAGGTGGGGAATCTGTGGGGGAATGCATGTGTCCGCCAAAGGTTAACACCACCGAAACCTGGTTCGAGTACTGTGGCCATGAGCTAACCCCACCTACGAAATGTACGGCAGAAACGGTATATCGATGTGTGAACAAACGAAAAATCGCAATTGAGACCACTAACCGTTGTGCTAAACAAGGAAAGAAATGCGTGCAAAAAACTTATTATATAGACGGGGAACGGTGTGAGATGTGCCCAATTCATAAATACAAAACATGTCAATAGTAACTGTTTGTGACACAAATCTCAGTTGGTTAATAAAATTAATTGTTTCACCCGTGCCACCGTTCAAATAACTGGCCAAGTAGTAATTCTTTTGACAGAGATTGGCAGCCAAGGTACCAATATGCAGATGAGTTTCCTGTTTTGTGATGAAAGCAAGTATAATATTGGGTCATAAATTACTTCCTCTTCTCCTTCCGCACCATCATCAAGAACAGCATTGGCATAATGCCAAAAAGGAAAATTGGTTCATATTTCCCACAAAAGGTGAAATTGATTAATGATACAGCGTAAAGCCTGGCTAAATTTAAATAAAATTAATTTTTGTTATTAATTAAATTGAAACAATTCTTTCTACTAACCTAGATTCACACAAACTCATCAATATGCAGCCGCAATGATCATAATTTCGGCGTAATTTTCAGTTAATGTATAAATTGTCAAATTATTTCCAATTATTCTGACATTTTAATGCGTTTTTTTTGATGCTCTCAATTCATTTTGCCCCAAGGTTTTTCCGATGGTATTGGTTGTGTTATTTTATTAAATATTGAAGTGAGTCAGTTTTAATTAGCGTCAATTGAGACCCACCCATTAGCATACAGTAAGACAAACAGACAACCGTCTGGAGTAATTAAATTGTTTCCATCCCATCTGCTACCAAAACCGAACAAAGAAAATTAATGATGACCTACAAATATTTGGGCAGCTTTGTAGCTCTAATTTCATGCACCAAATCGCAAAATGTAAATGTCTATTTGCATGAAATCGGTGGTTTTTGTAGCAGAAATTGAGTTTAGCCAATATAAAGCAGATAAAATACGAGTGTCCTAGCAACCTCGAACAATCCCAGTATTCAGATTTGTTCAGACACACATGCATGATTAAAATCGTACACATTTTTAATTACCTCATCAGCGGATGTAGTCCTGGTTTCACAGATTGCCTAAAGCCGGGTAATTTCTCGAAAACATGAACCCATCCCGAATCTGGTGATGGTTGTAATGACATCCACTTTGTCCATTTGCTTCGCACACTTTAATATTGTTCGTTTGCTATGTAGAGTAGCATCCGCTGGAAACCAGGATGGGGCGAACGGACGATTTCTTGGTCGGGTCTGTGTGGAGGGATCGGATGCATCTCAATCTCCATGGCAACTAAACCCGCCAAACGCTCAAGTGTTCTTTTTAACGTCCAAAAGTCTTTTAAATTGTAGAGAGAAAAATCGCGTCAAACGATTCAGTTTTTAGTTTTCAAAATTTGAGGATTTTTTCTTAACTATTTGCGAAAATAAATATGATGAGTAAGGAGGAGCTTGACAATAATTTGATAAAAACACCGAAATAAAAAAAATCTTAACTGCTTCCGCAGATTGAGAAATTGAGTTTATTCCAATTAAGAAAATTAATTTTTTAGCGATTTACTGTAAAAATGTATGACTCGAAAAGTTTTCAACACTTTTTCCGATGTTCGTATAATTTGTTGACGGCTTATCCAGTTTAAAAATTGGTATTTCTAACAATTAAAGAAATTAAGAAAGATGGGAGAAATACGTTACATGCATATGCAAAAGATTTGAGGAAAGGAATGCGAAATGTTGATGGTGGACAGTGGGCATGGGAACCAAGGTGTGGCGGTGTGACGCATTGGTCTGATGACCACATTATCCACGTATAATAAAAAAAACAAAGAAAAGATTTTAAAAATGCATCGGTATTTGATATCCAGATACATACGTACATATGTAAAGGTGAGACATACGAAGAAAGCACGGCACGAGCCGAGGAGCTAATTACAGGTGCAGGATGAATGTGTAAGTTGATGCTCATTGTCTTTCTCCGGAAGCCTTTGTTCATGCAAATATGTATGCCATACAGGAAGAAATATGCAGTAGCTCGGTAACATGGAATTTTCTCAATTTTGTTTTAAAACTTTGCTTTAATGTGTTTAGTTTAATAATAGATAGGTTCACAGGTGATATAATTAGCAAGATGCGCTACTAAATAAATACATTAAACATCTACTAGTCCAATGGCATATGTAACTCAACAAAATTTGAGTGTGTAATTTTTACATTTCTACGTATATACATTTAAACGAGTATTTACATGTACAAACATATTCTTTAGTTCTTAATTAATTATTACAAGATAGAGGAATGTACACAATGTTAGGGTCTATTTATGTATTTCACATTAAATATTATGTATATAAAACTCGAGTGTTTAATTCGTACATTTCACAAATCCTTTATCGAGTATTTATAGACATTATTTAATTTTTAAGTAATTAATACAATCTAGCGGTACACAATGATTTGGTGTTTTTATGCATTTCCCACTAAATATTTTAATGCACGATAGACTAGACTTTGCACATAAAGAACCCGGAATAAATAATATTAACTATATGCATCACCAGCTTTTGAGAGCGAATGGTACTGATTTTATGGCGAATGTTGGGTGATTTTGTTTGTGACAAGTGACAAAAATTTATTCAACTGGGTTATATTCATTGAAATGATACCTAAAATTATTTGGAACCAGAGTATGTCCACAATCTCCAACTTGAGTGCCAAATTGGCCAATTATGAAACATAATTCGATACATTTCATTAAAAAAAACACCATCGTAAAAATGAAAGTTTATTTATTAATGCTGAATAATCTAAAACAACAAGAGCAAATTAGCCATTTGGATGATGCAAAACTGCTGTGTGATTAATGGTGTCAGCTCATCCACAAAATTTTGACCAAACCTAACTTTCATCACCCGATTCCAGGTAGCACGAAAAAAAGGAAAACCCGAGAAAAGTGGTGACAACTTTTTGAACGTTTACTTCCTCATGGAGAAAACTTTCAAGGACGAATGACGGGTAGAAGCATCGATCGGTGAGCAGGAGTCACACTCAGCAAAATCTCGTCCAGTATTTCGGCTTGCATTTAGTTTTGCTAAGACTGTCGTCATTAAAATTTCTGGTAATCCATGGTTCAGGCTGGAATAGGTGTCATCCTCCCAATTATTTTCGGATGGTGGCGGGTAGTTTAAAGGAGCGAATTGTAGCACATCTTCGGTTGTGGTAAGGCAATCAAAATTTGGTGGAATAGGAACACTCTCCAATTGCTTTTGGTTACATAGCATAACTTCATTTTCTTCGAGAAATAATAAAACTGACAATTTGACGGGTAGATGCTCCTCCTTTGTTTGGAATTGCTTTCCCCACTTATTTCAAAGTCTTTGAAGGTAGTGTGTAAAGTTGGGCCGTCGCATTGGACAACAATACTTTAGAATCACTCGGAATTAAGAGCAAGTACAAATTATCTGGATAAAGGTCCAAATCAATGATACTATTTATCCTGAAATAATATCTGCCTTGGGTTAGAATCCAATATCCTATCGCTTTGGTGTCAGATGCGGTCAAATATGGCGAATTTATGGTAACGAATAGGATCACAGTTTCGCAAAACCAACCCTTATTTTGTACGATGTCAAGTTGCAAAGGTGGATTAGCGTCCGTTGACAGGTCCCGCTTGGTCAGAGTAATCGGAATATTACGGGTAGTTGGCAAGTTTTCTATCGAAATATTGTTAAAGACGAGATTATATCGACAGGGATTGTGTTTTGTGAAGACAGTTGCTAAATTTGGAGTACATAACGCTGCTCTGAAGGTTAAGCAAGTCACGATTACTGATTTGCACAGATAATTTGTTATCGGCATGTTTTAATTTTTTTGATGAATTAAAGAGCAAGGAGGGAATAGAAAAGACGTTGACGTTGATATATGAAAACCAGTTGCGACGATAAAGCTAGTTATTTTGGTGGAACTTAGGATTAGTGGAGGTTGAAGGATCGATACTAAATATTGCTGTCTTGGCATTTGCAAAAATTGAGGACGTTGATCTACATTATAAGCTGGAAATGTTTGTCTGCAACGGAAGTGAAAGTTATTTTCCGAAACGGAAGTGAAAGTGGAGAAAGTGATTTGCATATCAGCTGCGTTGGTGCAAGCGGTTGGAAAGTCGATAAGTTAGTTATCCTTGGCTTGATGGTTATCAGTAAGGGAAAACTTTTAATTGTGGTTATCTGGTCGCTGGGGGGATTGGGAGGGTTTGCCCCCCCCTGGGATATGGTTATCGCTCTGCTGGGGGGAGTGGGAAGGCGTGCCCCCTGGGATATGGTTATCGCGCAGCTTGGGGAGTGGGAGGGCGTGCCCCCTTGGATATGGTTATCGCTCTGCTGGGGGGAAGCGAGGGTGTG